ACGCTTTGTGCTATGGTAGATGGCTGATAAAACGAGATGTGGTCCCTGTCCTCAGGAAGGGGTGATCACGTGAATGCAGCACTGACAGCCACCAAGCAGACGGTGGCCTGTGACGTCAGTGACAGGAACGAGCACGGGAGGTAGTCCCCAGTGGGGTGGGCCAGGGCAGGCTGCAGAGAGGAGGAAACCAGGGCCTTCCGCGGGGAGGGACGTCGGCAAGGGCAGAGGGGAGAAGTGTGGGGTATGGCTATGAAACCACAGGGAGTTCATTTTTGGGGACCTGGGCCAGGTCACAGGCAGTGATGGGAGATGAGACTGCATTGGGGACACTGAGGGCCAGGCTGAGGACCGGGGACTCCATCCTGCAGGGGCAGGGGGTCTGAGGTGCTGGGAGGAGGTGCAGACAGATTCAGAGATGAGGCTGATTGAAAAGGGTGTGTGTCAGGAAGCTGAACGCTCCTTCCCGATCCCGTCGGCTCAGAGCTAAGAAGCTTCTGTTAGGACGTAACTCAGTGCTGGCCTGCCCTGGCGGTCCCAGCACGGAATGGGACCACAGTCGGCGACACTTAAGAATTCACAGCGCAGGACTTGACGAATGCAAAGGGAGGGGCAGGATGCTGTGGGGCAGGGAGACTCGGAATGACCCAGGACATTGAAAAGGAGGGTGGTCTTGGCAGTGGCGTAGTAACACCTGAGCGCCCTGCCCGGCTGGTGTGGCTCAGTGGTGGAGCGTTGCCCCTGCACCAACAAGTCGCCGGCCTGATTCCCGGTCAGGGCACGTGCCCAGGTTGCGGGCTGATCCCCAGTGGGGGGCGTGCAGGAGGCGGCCAATCAACATTCTCTCTCACCGATGTTTCTCTCTCTCTCCTTCTCCCTTCCTCTCTCTCCAACATCAATAAAGAAAAAGAAGAAATACGGAAGGCACGGTTTGTTGGGAATGGGGAAGAAGGCAGGGAAGAGAGGCGATGAACAGCAAAGCAGCCGACGTGATAGTGCGGGGCCATCCGCTCCTCACGGCAAGCATCATTAGCCACATTGTGCAGAGGAAGACTTTCCGGCCCAGAGAGACTGTCACTGGCCCAAGACAATCGGGAGTCAGAGGACGAGTTGAAGCAGGGCAAGGACAATGCGTCCAGTGTCTTCCGAAAGCTGATGCTAGCTCTGGGGAGATGATGGACAGCCACAAGGTGGGGCACCCGGAGGACGCACTCACCGGGCCAGGCCGCGGCAGGCTGGACGGCTGTGATGGCCGCGGGGTGGGGAGGACTACTGGACCGTGATTATTTCCGAGGTAACATTGACAGAATGCCCCGATAGACTGCAGGCCGGAAGTGAAGGGAAGAAGCAAGGGCGACATCTGAAATTTTGCTTTGAGCAGTGGGGTATCAAGAAGCAGAAAGGCCCTGGCCGGTTTGGCTCGCGGTTGGAGTGTCGGCCTGCGGACCAGAGAGACCCGGGTTCGGTTCCCGCTAAGGGCATGTACCTCGGTTGCAGTTTGTCCCCGGCCCCGGTTGGGTCATGTGGGTGGCAGCCACTCGATGTGTCCCTTTCACATCGATGTTTCTCTCTCTCTCCCTCTCGCTTTATCTGAAGATGAATGCAAAAATGTCCTCAGGGGAGGATAAGGAAAAAAGGCAGAATGTCTGGGGATGAAAGAGTTTGGGCAGGCAAGATAGAAAGTTAAAGCAAGGCTGATAGAACGAGAGACTCGAAAGAAACTGTGAGTGGAGAGAAATGAGTCAAATGGAAGAGGAGAAAACTTCATGAGACAGAGGAGATAACACAAGAAAAAGCCCCAGGGGGAGCCAGGGGCCCAGCAGCGTACGTGGAGGGTTAGATCTGTGACCCTTCTGCCTGTGGACAGTGCTCTCCCGTGGGTTTTGCTCCCTTGTGCCTGGCTAACCCTGCCTGTCCTGCCGGCTGCTGACTCGGGTGCCACCTCCGTGGGGACATGCCTGTCCCCTCCCAGGACTGGATCCTGCCCTTCCTCGTGTACCCGGGCTTACCCCATCACTCACAGGCTTTGTTGTGTCTCCAATACAGTCCCTGTTGGGTTCCCTGAGCCGAGTTCAAATTCAGCCTTCAGCCCATGCCCCTTGGTCGGACTGGAGGAAAGAGAACATTAGGTAAACTCATGGCAGGTGTGGGGGAGGAGGTACAGTATGTACACCCCAGTGGGCCATTCCCTTCCATGGATGGGTGAGCTGGGGACTCGGGAGACACCCACAGGTTGGAATCAGGGCTTCGGGGGCAGGTGGGAAGGGTTGCTAACTCCTGCTCACTCGGGCCCCACCGCCACCGCAAACCTGTAATGGAAACAGCTAGCCCTTTTGGGTCACGTCCCCCGGGAGCAAAAATCAGTCAGACTAGATGAAGAGATTAGACAGACTGCTGCACCATACCCATCAGGGCAGGAAGGTAGACGCTTATCTGAGGCAGCCTTTCCTCTTTTCAAACAAGAAGGGTTTTCTAGCTAATAGTTCGGCAAAACAGAAAAATCTGATCAATCAGAACTCCCCACTCCCCAGGTTTCTCATTAACTGTGATTTTGCAGCTTCCCCCAAGCCTTCAGCAGCCCTTCAGCGGCCACCGTGGCGAGCCTGCGTGCTGTGCCGGAACGGCACTTACTACTTGCAAATGAAATTCCTACGGTCTCTGGGGTCTGCTTCAAAATAATGGGGGGGGGGGATATGACAACATTGGCCCAGTAGATCACTGTGAAAACGGACGATGGGTACGCGGTCCATTACACTGTTCTACTCCTGTGTATGTGGAGATTCTCTGAAATGGAGAGACCGGCAGCACACTTACTGAAGTTTAGGACAAGTGCAACCATACCACCCTACAGAAGCGACATTCAGATGCTGACACACCAAAAAAGAGCTGCTAGCGTGGGTAAGCTGTGTTCTGTAGAACTGAGTCCACGGCCGAGATGAGGCGCCTTCAGATGCCACTCAGGGAATTCTCGTCATCTCTAAACCTCATTAGTAAATCACAGCCTGTATATCACTAATGTCGACTTTTCATATTCAATATGTAACCATGGGAGTCGACCTTTAAACCTTGTCCGGCGCCCGTCCGCTTGGCATCTCCCACGCCGGCGGCCCCCTTGCTTGACATCTTACCCGGTCCCGCCGCCTGCACCACCGACCTCCGCGGACTCCCCAAGCGCGCACTGACTACGAGATGGACTGTAAGACAGAATGGGGTGGACATCATTAGGTGAACTGGTTGAGGAATGGTGACATGGACTTGGGCAATGGCAGTGGACGTGGAAATGTGGGTCATGACCTTGGCAGAAATGAAGAAGGCAAACTTGACAGGACTTGGTGTTGGTGGCGGTGAGGGGGCAGACATCAAGGATGATGTTCAGATCTGGTGCATGGAGAGCCCATTTACAAGATTAAAGAATGACCCTTTAGCCTTCTTTCTCTGACCCATGTCACTGCAACTATTTCTTCCTCTATAAATAGGAATAACTACACCACCAACTTGCGGGGTCCAGAGGTGTGGTCCTCCCTGCAGTGGACCATGCCTGGCAGAGGGACAGAAATGCTTGTACAGTGGCCCCACTCCCTTTGGACATTCTGTTCCTCGTCCCACCCTATCCAAGTCCTACCCTCCCCAGATCATGCCCAAGCACCTTCCTTACATAACAGAGCTGGGCTCAGAAAACTCCAAAGAACCAAACAGACACCTGCTGCCTAGCTCAATGGCAACTGAGCTCCCTGTGGCGCAAAGGAACCCATAAACCACTCACTTCTCTCTAGGGCCCCCAACTCTTACGGCCCCACATCTTGTTTTGTGTCCTGACCTTTTTCCCTTGGGGGAGGTGTTGGGGTTTGATCTGACAAGAACCTGTGCACCAAAGCCCTGCATTTCAGTCGATACGGATCTGGGCAGCTGTTCGGTGAACCGGCCAGCAGCTCTGTACGGGGGCCGGCGACCTGCACAACAGCATGGCCCAGCTCCTGGGTCGCCGGTCCAGGCACAGCAGCTGGGGTGGGGGAGGGGGTACAGGGAAAGGGTATGGACAAGAGAAGCTTCTGGACTCGAGATCATCGAAACCTCAGCACAACAAAGGACCTTTCCGACTGTTAACGTGCCAGCATTTCCATCTACGGTACTGGGTCAACGGTGAGCAGGGAGACCCCGGCCACCTGGGGCCATCACAACGAAGAACCCGTTGGGTTCCAGGCCCGTGTGGGCCACACTGACGGTAACCTCTGCTCTCGAGGGCGGTGCCTCAGGGGTCACTGGGCACGCTGACAGGCACTTGACGCGACCCTCGTGAGCGCCGTGAAGCACGCAGGGCGATGCCGCCTGCCCACGCCCGGGTGAAGGAGCAGGTAGCGGGTACAAGCAGCACTGAACTGTCCACCTGGTGAGCTCAGGGGCAGGACTGTCACCTGGGAGTGCGTCACTGGCCTTCTCGGCAGAGGCCTCTCTTTGGGACCACCTTCTTTCTGGACGCCCCTCCGAACCTGCCCACCTGGCCTGTCTTCACCCCAAGGCCTCACTGCAGGCCGCACCCACCCTCAGGGTTCGAGAGTGAGCAGCACGGGCACCACCCTGTCCTGCGCCCCTTTCGCCATCCTACCACAGCTCAACAGGGCGGCACTGAAGACCACACGCCACAGGCTTCCCAAAAATACGGCTTTTTATTGTTCTGGATGCAAATCTAGTTTCAAACTGCATTGTAGTGTTGAATACAGCTGGTGGAAACAGGCTTCTCGGCGCGGGGCGGAGGGGCCATGTTCGGGCCGGCGCAGGCCGGAGCCTGGCGGACAAGGCCACTGGGGCTGCTGGGGCTGGTTTCCCAGACCACAGGGATGCCCGGCCCCTGAACAAGCCCTGATGCAATCGCCAGAGCTCACGACAGAAGAAAGCGAACCGGCACACGATGACCCGAAACGTGGAAAGGGTTCAGCCGCGGCAGCAGGCGGCCGGCCGGGGCGAGGGGAGGCTGCGCTGGGCCCCTGCGAGGACACCGCGGCCGCCACACCTTTGCACTGCAGGATGGAAACTATGGAAACGTACAAAACTTCGGTTCCTCCCAACCCTCCACAACCTCCGTTCCTGAGAGCAGCACAGCGCTGCTCAGAAATGCAGAAGAGCATCTTCAAATTAGCAACCCCAAGGTGGTCTGTGGAACCCAAAGTTTGGGAGATGAAGGTGAATTCTGCTACATAATTGGAAAGGAATTTCACAAAAATAAAATTCCACACACACACACACACACACACACACACTCCAAGCCAACATTCAATATAAAAAAAGTTCCCTTTTCTTTCTCCGAGGCGGATTTTCATAAGCCCTGACAAGAGAACAGCCCCTGTGTAGTGAGCCAGGAAAGCCAAGTTCTCAGAAGGGAAAGAAAGTTGGGTAGTTGAGCCAGGTGGACTCAGGGCTCCTCAGACTTCTCCCTTTTTCTGGACCCTCCGACCACAAACACCTGCTGAGCGGGCCAAGACCAGGCCGCTACTGAATGGTTCGGACACGCTGAGCTTCCAAGCCCTTCCCCCCTCAAGCCTCGCTCTCCTCTCCCCTTCCCTGCATTCAGGCATGGGGAAACCTATGATTATTTTTTATTTTATTTTTTGTTACAGATGTTTCTCCGTTTCTCCTTTTTTTCCTCATTGACACCCTCCTCCCCATCCCCCCACCTCATCCCCGGAGATATGGGGAAAATCTTAATACATGAGGCATCAGGGCACCAAGCCCAAAACCAGGGCCTGCAGCTGCCAGGGAGCCTGAGTGACCCCAGACTGCCACGTCAGGGTGCTCCCGACTCCCATCCCAACCAGGCCCAGCCAGGAACACTTTGCAAAGCTAAGTGTAAGGAGTCGGGGGGAGGGGGGCTCACCTACCACAGAGCCTAATGGGAAGCAGGGCATCTCTAGGGAAAGGCAATTCTCCCACCAGAAAGAGCAGCCCAACGCACACCCCAGGCGGGGGGAGGAACATCGAGGGGCCAGGGACCCACGGGGGGGAGGGCTGCTGCGTGGGAGGGTGCTAAGGCCACGCCCCGGTCTGCCTGCCTGGGCAGATCAACACTGAGCTGAGGCCGGCCGGCCCATGGCCCAGCCCCTGCACTCAGCGAGTCTGCTGGCCATGGGCGGACAGCCCCCGCTCCTCTGATGAGCGATCGTCCAGCTGGACAGTCATCACCTGGGATCTTAAAACAACCCTGCTGTCCCATGATCGTCTAGGTGGGAAGCTGGGCCTCTCAAAGAAGGAGGCCCAGCCTGAGAGGAAGCTGGGTGAAGTCGGCCAGGACTGCACATGGAGACAGGAGCGCGCGGCCCCTTCTACAGGTGGGTGTGCCAGGATCAGGCAATGTCACCCTTCCCACACCCCTTCATCTGGGGTGGGACAAAGGAGTTTGGCACCATCCTGGGGTGCCAAAGTATTTGCCACAGTAAAAAAAAACACAAAAAACCTTCAGGCCTGACCTCTGGAAAGGGAAAGCAGAGTCAGGTCGTAAGGACAGGACGTGACGGAAGCTGGGCGCCCAAGGATCCCCATGGCAACCCCTGACCACCCCTCATCCTAGAGGCTCCAGGAACAAGGCATGCTGGGATTTCACCCCCTCCCCCTGCACTAACTTCTGACGTGGGGACGACTTCCCTCCAGCCACGCGGTGAAAACCTCTGCCACAGGGCTGGGGACCTCCTGAGGGGAGCCAGCTGGTGTGTGACCCGCCTGAGGCTGGAGGGGCAGGCCCTCACCCTCCAGAAAGCCCCACGGGGCCGCTCTGCCTCTGCACCACGCTCACTGAGGGCGAGCAGCAGGGTGCAGGGCTGATGGCACAGAAAGATTTCACAGAAATACTTGCAGACACTGATGTGCCAGACAGGGTGTTTTTTTTCTCCTTTTCAGATTGATTTTCTCATTCTCCAAAGTGTCAGCATTTTAAAGTTTTTTTACGGGAGTAACGACAAGAGTGGGAGTGAAATGAGTGTAAACAAGCCAGCCCCACAGTGTCCGCTGCAGGCTGCTGGCGAACTGCCCCGGCTTCCCCACGCCCTGGCTGGAGACCCTAGGCGGAGCTCAAGAGGCCCTCGTGCCTGTCCAGGTCCATCAGCCAGACTGCCAGACGAGAAAACCTCGGGACAAGCAGCAATCGTGCCTGCAGCAAGAGAAACAGCTCTGTGGCCCTGCAGCCGCAGCAACGGTGAGCACCAAGAGAAATGGATTTAAGTAGGTATCTCAGAACAGACACAAGCCAGACACACACACACACACACACACACACACACACACCCTTCAAAGTCACATACATCCTAACAGCCTTAAATATTTAACAAAACAGAATCTGAACATTAAATCAGCAAAAGGGAGAGGGAGAGAGGTAGGCCAAACAAGCAAGAGGCCGATTTTATATCCCATGGAGTTTTTTTTTAAAAGACTCCCAGAAAGAGATGGGAGAAAGCTACGGATTCAGGAGGGTCTAGGCGGGGCCACGCGCCGTGGCCACCTACGTGGTCTCTGAAGGCACAGGTCTGGGGAGGGCCGGGCACGAGCCCCCGTGAGCCTCGCAGCTGCGGACGTGTCCCCCGTCCCTCTGGCCCTGGCGGGGTCTCACACAGTGGCCTTCCCCTTGTGAAGGGGCTTGGGGCTCACCCTGGGGGTAGAGACGTTCTCCTACCACGTCCCAGTGGGGTGGAGAACCAGCCCAGCCTTGTCTTGAGCCTGCCCTCAGGAGAGGGATCCAGAAGGCCTGTAAACTTGTTTTCTGGGGAGACTGACAGGGTAGCCACACACTGCTCTTGTACAAGCTTGAAGCACAGACCAGGGAGCAGGTGACAGGTCGGCGACCTGTGGCAGAGGTAGCTGCTCGGATGGCAACAGGGAGAGAAACCCCATCCAGCCTCCATCACCCAAGGCTGAGGCGGGGCTGGCCACCCTCTGGGCACAGCCCTCAGGCCTCCAGTTACCAGGGGGAGCCTCCTAATGGATTGGAACTTCAGGAGGTAGCCACGGTTCCCCCTCAAAGAGCCCCCGAGCTCCCTCAAAGCCCACCCCGGTCTGCTAGTCTGCCCAGTACTGTCTTCTCCACTTCTGGTGAGGACAGAGCCAGCTGGCCCTTGAACTTCACAGCAAAACGACAAAAGCACATTCTTTCCACAAGGAGGCACCCTTGGCCGGCTTCCTGAGTGCCGGAGCGCCCTTCACCTGCAGCTGCTCGCGCAGACTCGGTGGGGTCTGGCCCGGACCACCCTTCGGGGCCCTTCCTCGGAACCCTCCCTACTACAGTTCCCACTCGGAAACAACCCGATGCTCCCGGGTCCCCTCCACCTCAACTCTGGGTGAGCTCTCTACTGTCTGGTCTGGGAGACACGTAGGGACAGCTGGAGCTGGCCACCTCAGAGTTCCGCTTGTAGACATTCTAGTTCTTCCTCCAAACACAGGACAGGACAGTCTCTGGGCGTGTGACGTCTTTGGTCCGAGAACTGTTACAGTTTGAACAATGCAGACAAGATGACCAGGCTGATGGAAACACCACAGAGTCTGGCCTTGCTAACGCTTCACCCGAAGGGTCACACATGTCCGCTGGACACTGCTGGCTCGCCCAAGGCTGAGTGTGGACGCAGGTGGAGAACAGGGTGGAAGGGCCACTCTGTGAGGTGACGCCTGGCAAAGCCCCGGGCCGAGCCGCCACCCCGATTCTCCAGCCGCAGTGCTGGGGTGCTGCCCCGCCATGCCACGTGGAGCTGAATGGGAACAGAGGAGCCGCCACCGGGGAGGCCCCCAGCCAGGGCAGCAGCTTCGCATCTGTGCACTCCCCCGCCCGCCCGCGTCCGCACGTGAGCTCTGGCGCTCCCCAGGCAGCGGCCGTGCAGCGGCCTGAGCGGCTGTCCGAGTGTCTGCAAGGTCAGAGTGTGAGGAAGGAAGGGAGACGCCTTCCACGTGCCCCAGGGGTGGGCCAGAGCAGGTGCAGGAATCCTTCAGAGGAGACAACCACCCAGGACATGACAGACAGGGACTGGGAAGGGACCTGGTTCCTAGCGCCAGGAGCAGATGCTGCCTCCTTGGCCCCATCTCCTTCCGTGAGCCCTGCAGGCCAGCAGGTCGGGACTGGGACTGCTGTGTTCCCGTCTGGGCTGCCCCAAGGGCAGTGGTGGTTGTGACTGAGGTCGCTGAGTGAGAGTTTACAGCAAAGGGTTCCCAAAGATGGGCTATTGCCGTTGGCAGGACCCGAACCTGCTTCAGACCTGAGCACGGTGTTTGAGCAGCCAGTGGCCTGGCAGAGTTGGAGGGAGGCCTGAAGCTCTGTGTCAGGAGAGGCGTGGGGTGCAGCCTCCTCTCCACGGCGGGAAAGGTTCTTCTGCATCCTGTGTGGCACGTGCCCGCTAAGCGCTGCTAAGACTCCCCCGATCTCTTGCCAATTCTGGTCACAGCCTCTGCCGCCTGCTCTGGCAGCTGGGACGGGTCTGTGAGGATGGAGGTGGTGGTGCTCAGACGCCGGAGGGTGTTCAGCACCGCTGGAAGACAGGAGGGGGAGTTAGCCTGAGGACTCGGTGCAGGGGCAGCTTTGAGCCCCACCACACAGTACACACACGTGATCTTATATAGTACCATCACGTGACTCTCATGCTTGCCACAGGAGAGGTTCTGAGCTCGACTGAGGGACAGACACCAGGAAAACCCCTCTGCCTTTAAGAGAACTCTCCAAACCCTATCCATTTCCTGCAGAAAGGTGGAGAATCCTAAGCTCCTCTTGTCCACTGGTGTTACTATCCCTTCTCTACACCCTTAACACACAGGCCTAGCTTTGTTAGTTACGCAGATTAAACAGGGAAACACCTGCAAGGACCCAGCCAGTAGTAAAAGCTCAATAAACATAAGCTGGAGAGGCGCTGGGAGACCGGCTCCCTGCCCCACAGCGGGCATTTCTGGCCCAGGGCTGCACAACCGCACCACCCTGGTGCCCGGGCCGGTCTGCGTGACTGCTGTAGCGGGCGGGGTTTGCAGCACCAAGCCCTTGTCTCTCTGGCACTAGCGGGAAAGGCGAGAGCCTCCAACCCTACCGCGTGGGCAGCGTCCACTCACTTGGCCTGAGGACGGGCAGGGAGCAGTACTGGTCCAGCCAGGACAGTGCCGTCCGCTCCAGTTCTTCCCGGCTGCTGGTGGACACCATCCCCTTGAAGGACTCAAACAGCGGCTTGATGATGATACTGAACTGCGTGGCACGTGGGTTAAAGGAAAGGTAAGCAGAAAAGAGGGCCTGTGACCAACTTCCCCTGGGACTGGCAGGTAGTTGTGCCCAGATTGTGGAGAGACATCTGGACGAGGTAAGTGTGCCCTTACATTCACCTAGAATGCTCCTATCTAACTGGAACTGACCACTACCGCTTCTCGGCCTTTCGGCTAAGATCACGTGCGCCTGGAACTGACCATTGAGCAGGCTGTAGACAGGGACAGACAAGTTTCTTTGGTCTGGAATGGGTACTATGCAATGACATGAACATAACATACTTGACACGCACAGATGCTCCTTGACCCATTGGTGACGGGTCTACACTCTGATAAACCCATCGCAAGTCAAAAATGCATGTCCCACACCTACCGGGCTCAGCCGAACCCGCCTAGCACGTGCTCAGAACCCTTCCACCAGCCTACGGCGGGACAGTCATCTCGCAGTGATCCCAGCCTCTCCTCTCACGGCACAGACTGGTGACTGAGACCGTGCAGCACCCTCTGCCGCTCTGACAGAGAGAATGGGTACAGTTCTGATTCATTCACAGCAGATGGCTATTGTTGTTGGCTGTTGCCATGTTTTTATTTGACAATCTAGGAGAAAAGAGGTCGTGCCTCTGACTAAAGTGGCGCACTGGTTGAAAATCACTGCTCTAATACAAAGCCTATTTTATAATGAAGTGCTGACTATCTCATGTTAATTTATTATTCACCACTTTTTCACCACCCTAAAGTTGGAAAACCCTAAGTCTAAACACCGTACGCCGGGAACTGTCCGGCACGCCCAAGGCTGAGGTGGTGGCTGACTCGCCACCTGTGCAGAATGTCTGCTCCGAGGCGGCGGTGGTGGGTGGGCAGTGACGAGGCAGGAGCCATCCCCTAAGGACCCTGCTGCCATCGGAGGGAGGCCTCGGCCCAGACAGGGCTCCGCGCACAGGACATGCGCCTCAGGCGCCTCATTCAAGGCCTGAGGCACAGAGAACAGCTGGAGGGAGCTGGTTTCAAACCCAGCTCTGCCACTTGGTTTTGTGAGCCTCGCTCCTCACCTGCCACACAGATGGCACCCACCCTCCCGCTGTTCCAAGGACGAGCTGGCTGCCAAGATGTGTGGACTGGACGCCAGCTCCTCGTGCAAGCGGCTCTGGCACTGTCTTTACCTCCCCAGGCCCCAGAGCAGTGCTGGCCACCCGGGAAGCCCTGCCCCGAACTGGCCGGGGAAGCCCCACTCTCTCGGGCCAGGTCCCCCGCCCTGCTCTGGAGGAGACCAGCCCTGCTGTCTTGATGCACTGAATGACAACCCCTAGGAGGGAATCTTTCTAAAGGACTAGAGTGTGGATGCCCGTTGTTTTGGTACACTGGTTTTGGGTGGGGTGGGCAAAGAAAACCCAAAGATACGATCCAGAACTTCCAATTCTGCAGGGTCCGGCTCTTTACATATTCGTCAAACATGTCTGTCATGTGATCAAACTGGCGCCGGGTGACGGGGACTCCTGTGGCAGGGAGCAGCTGCTGGCAGGAGCTGAAATGACAGGAAGTCAGAGGAAGCTTAGAGCAGCTGGTGACAAGGACGGACCCTGTGGGCACTGAATGGGCAGGGCAGCTGGCTGTCAGGCCAGCACAGGCCCGAGAGGAGTCTGGGAAGGAGGAGGACAACAGCTACAGTGCTGCCACAAAGGGGCATCCATCTGCACCGAGGACACAGAGGGTCCTGCTGTGGCGCAGTGTGAGGGCCAGGCAGCCCAAGCCCCAGGCCCCGCCTCACAGGATGGTGGCATTGAGCTCGGCGATCTCATCGCGCAGCCGCCGCGCTTCCTCCTGCATCTGGCCGCGCTCCTGCTGCAGCTTGGTGATGTACTCCACCGTCTTCTGCAGCGTGATGGCGTGGCTGGTCTGCAGGCAGGCAGGGGGTCAGAGCAGCTTCCACGCCCCAGGACCACGGCTCCTCACCCAGCGCCCCCTGGCAGCTCACCAGCTTGGAGTTATTAGAGATCAAACTGTTCAGGGTGTCAAAACCCATCTTGATGTTGAAGCGCCTCTTCTGCTCGGCTGAAATGTGCTTCATCTGCCGGTTCTGTTGGGGAATCGGCCCATCACTGTGACGTGGGGCGCGCGCTGCAGGCTGCCGCCCTCCTTCCCAACCTGCTGCTGACTGCTGGGGGCAGGCTGGACCCTGTGGCCAGGCTAGAGAGCTAAGTGGAGGAGGAGTGACAGGAAGCTGAAAGGCCCAACAGGAGCCGGGAGGGGACGGGCCAGGGCTCGAGGAAACCACCCTGAAGCGTGGAGCAGGCGAGGACCTCAAAGTCCCGCGAGGAACAAACACTGCTGATGTGCACTTCCAGACCCGCAAGCCTCTACTGTCCCTTCTCCCCGCTGACACTTCTGCCTCATTACAGGGTTCAGCGTTGCTTCCACAGGTTGGTCAGGGGGTGGGGGTGGAGAAAGAAGCTTAACCCCAGAATTAAAGTTGTTGACGTCCATGCTTCCCACACTACTCCTGCGGGAGCACCAGCCAAGCCCATGGCTCTCCTTTCCAGTGTGTCCCTAGTAAGGAATGTGGCTGTCCCCAAGGCCCCTCTGTGGACTCCTTGCCTCCCCATCCTTCCAAGAGCCACGTGATACCTTCAACACAGCCACATTTTTGAGACCTGCAGAGTGTTTCCCTGAGCAGCTGTCCTGGGGAGACTGAGGACTGGGGCTGTGTTCTGAAGCACGCGGAGAGGCCTGCCCTGAGTTCGGGCCATCACGACCTGAGAAGAACAGAGACCCCTCTTAGGGACAGGGCCAGAGGTGGGCTCGGCGAGGCTGCGCCTGCTGCAGTCCTCGCCCACGAAGGGAACCTCCAGCAAGTCCCCAGACTCGGAAACCCATCCTGAACCTCCCATGGCAGCCCCGAGCAAACCCAGAAACATCCTTCCCAACTCCCCACGAGGGTTCTGTCGGGCCCAGGCGAGGCCTGGCGAGGGCTGGCCACACACAGAATGCAAGGTGGCCTGAGCTCGGCCGGTCACAGGTCTCGGGGCCGTGACAGTTCTGAAAGGTCCCACTCCTAACAGCCTCCTGCGAAGCCACCTAGCAGCAGCTGGGGCCCCTGCAGTCTGGGAGGCTCTCCTCACCGGGGTGCCGAGAACACAGGCAGCTGTTCTTTTGTTCTTTTGTCTCCAGATACATTTCCTTATACTTTTTTCAACCTAACCCACTCCCCAAACTCTTTTAACTAAAAAAATAGAAAACGCCCTTCCAACCACAGACCACATGACCTATGCCAGCGGGACCACTCAACGTCTGTTCCCAGGAAGCCCCTGAGCCGCAGCCTCTTCCCCTCCGCTGGACAGAGCCTCCAGTCCGTGCCCTCTCCACTGCCCGCTTCTCCCAAGGCCTCGGCGCCGGCACAGCTCACTTCCTGCACCGAGCCTCAGCGCATGCCGGGACGCTGCCTGACCCTTCCCCACGTGACTCGGGCCTCTCGTTACTAGTCTTCGTCTTGGTTTGCACACTGAAGCTCCTATTCTTCTAAACCTGTCCTTGGACAGGTCCTCGGTCTGGTCCCTGCAAGCAGAGGCCTCGTCCTCGTGTCTTCCCGAGGCAGAAGACAGTTCCCGCAGCAGCCGTGCATGGCCTTTCAGACCACGTGAACTTTTGGTTCATCTTCCCGAGAGGAAGGAGCCCAAGTTCTGGTTCAACCCCCACCACCAGCGGCACAGCTCCGGGCACATCCTTTACCCCTGACCTCTTGGCTCTTCAGACATCACCAGGCAGTCAGTGCCACCCTGGCTGTCTCCCCGGTGGAAGGCCCACCACGTGGAAGTGGGCTCACGGGTGCAGTGCCTGGGAGCTGTGACGGCCACGCTGGCGGGGTGGCGGCTGTGGCGGCGGCAGCCCCAGGCTAATGCTCTCTGGGAACTGTCGACAAGGGTCCCTCAGCCCTTCCCTCTCTGGATCGGAACTGGCGGCTCAGAGGCTGGCCTTTCCGAGGGAGGCTAGAGCGGAGTGTCTCCGAGCTCACTGGCTGCTCACACTGCAACCCGCCTGCGCCCCTTCTGCGCTGTGCCCCATCCTGCCCTGCGCCGAGCGCTTTCCGAGGGAGGCCAGAGCGGGGTGTCTCCAAGCTCACTAGCTGCTCACACTGCAACCCGCCTGCGCCCCTTCTGCGCTGTGCCCCATCCTGCCCTGCGCCGAGCGCTTTCCGAGGGAGGCCAGAGCGGAGTGTCTCCGAGCTCACTGGCTGCTCACACTGCAACCCGCCTGCGCCCCTTCTGCGCTGTGCTCCGCCCTGCCCTGTGCTGAGCACTTTCCCAGCCTGGGCCACGGCAGGTTTACGAGACCTCGCTGCTCGGCCTGTAAGCCCAAGCTCAATCCTGGGGCACCCCACAGGCAGCCTCCCCAATCATTCACTCGCAAAGCCCCAACCGTCCCAGCCATAGCGAGCACTCACTGGAACCCACGGCAGGGACCTGGGGACTGCCCCCCTGCAGCGGGACCTGTTCGCCCTTCACCAGGGAGTCTTGAACTGTGCTTGGAGAGAAGAGCCGGGAGACGGGGGAAGGCTGGCTGCTGGTGGCATGGCCCAGGTCTGTCACCAGGATGCCCCTGGGGAACTCTGTGACTCCAGGAGCCTGGGGTGACACAGGAGAGAGGGGTCACTCCTGACCACAGTCACGCTGGGAGAGGTCCGCCCAAGAGTAGGACCGTGCTGCAGGTTGAAGGGTGCTGAGGTCTGTCCAGGGCCCTCACCCTGGCAATGGGAGCAGGCGTGATGACCACATTAGACGGGGACACGGTAGAAGCCAACATCCCTTCTCTCTTCAGAGGGCCTGTCATGATCACTGCTTGTGGTTGTCCTGAGAAGGCAGCTGCTAGAACAAGGAGAAGGTGAGGGAGGCTCCATGCCTCGGGGACCTGCTCCTAACGCTAGCACTGAACCTGGGCCTGGCCAAGCCACAGTGGGCCCCCAGAAGAAAGACATGACCCTTTAGCTGCCACTAAGACACAGCTTTCCTCACTGCAGGGCACAGAAAGACAAAGCCACCAAGGCACCTGACATTTTTTTTGTAATTTCCCTTTGAGGGAACAGATTACAGACCCAAGAAAGAGATGATCAGGACTGTGTGTTTTCAAACCAGGTTAAGATTAACTTTAAAAAAGCACAGAATAGAAAATAGACTACATCAATCACATGTAGTATTTCACAACTTTTTTCACATCGTAATGTGTGTGGGGCACAAATTTGCAAGCCTCGGAGACAGACACTTCAGTTTCCCTCCCCACTCACCTTGGGCGATGTGAGCATTCTTCAACAGCAAGGATACAGGCTCTGGTTTGGGAGCAGGCACTATTTTGGGGGGCTGCTTGGACCTCCCTCCAGTCAAGGATACAGGTTTGGGATGTACAAAAGTTAAACGGGGTTGGGGAGGCCCAACAGCTGGCTGCTGGGTGGCTGGAGACAGTGCCAGGCCACAGGGGGGTGGGGAGGGGGCGGGGTGGCGAGGGGTGATGACAAGGCCCTGGCCCTGGTTGAAGGAGGTGGCAGAGGCATCGTGCGTGAGGGTGGTGGAAGCCGTGTGGGCAGTGACAGCAGGGGACTTGTTGGCTCCAGCAAACTTCTGTGGCTGCAGGAAGGCGGGTGGAGTCGGGGGGCTCAGGGAGGCGGCAGGAGGGACTAGCCGCACGGCAGGGGGTGTGGGCGTCGGTGCGGGGCTGGGCGAGAGCACAGGCATGGTGAACACGGGGAGGAAAGGCTGCGGGACACTCAGCGGGGGTGCAGAGGGACCAAAGTCTGCAGGCTGGATAAAGGGGTCCTCAGGCTGGGACGTGCGTTCACAGCCTGGTCTATCCGTGGGGTCCAGGGCAGTGGCTGCAGGGGATGAGATGAGGCTGTCAGGGAGGCTCACGGTAGGGAGAGAGGTGGTGGACAGGATGCTCTCCTGAGAAGGGAAGAGAAAGAAGTGAGGAAGAAATGCTGGGATCACACACACAAAGTCCAACAATGTCTGCCAGGCATCTGAGATGAACCCCTAGACAGAAGGGACAAAGGCGATTCTCCTGTCCCGTTATGCTGATCTGGGAGATGGATCTAGGTCTCCCCGGGTGTCAACAGGGGTCTTGTTTCCATTAGAAACTAAATGATAACATAAGGCTCAGACAAAGTGACTGTCTGCACATAGCTGGCTCTCAGCCTGGGAATATCTTGTTTCTGGAGTCCAGCAGGGGTCCCCAAAAAGCCCCTGCCATCTTCTGTTACAGAGCAGGGGCAGCCTGGATTGCAGCTGCTCATGGGGTTCCCTCAGGACAGTTTCATGTATCAACTTCTAGAGAGGTCACCTCTTCCTAAAAGGGAAATGCTATAAGGAATCAATTGTTCAGATCTCAATCTCTACGTTAGAAATTCCTCCCAGAGCCAGATGGAAGAAGATGGGCCAGGTTACTGGTGTCTAACTGGATACAGGCACCAGCCTGAGAACCCCTCAGGGCAAAGGGCTCTACCTCACTCGGCTCTGTAGCCCAAGCACCTGGTAAACAACTTCTGTTGATTGCTAAGTAAAAAGTAAAAGAAATACACAGAATCTCTTTTCATTAGCAATGCATGTTTTTTTGCTGTCTTGCTTACCCCTGTCTCAAACGGTCAGAACAGAGCTCACTGCACACAGGTTGTCTGGAGCCTTAGGCAGGACCATGCGTTTGTGGAGACAGGCTCCACCCATGTGAATCTCTAGGATGCTTCCAAGGGGGCTAGAATAATTTCATGTGTTCAGCACTACATCTAGCAACCCCTAGCACTTTGCTCACGACTGCTTGGTGATGTCATTAGCCTAGCCCTGGCTGCAGAGGTTTCATGACAGCCCTGTGTCCCTCCCCCAGCTCCCTCTACCTGAGCAGGTGGGCTGTTGGGATCTGGTGCAGATGTTGAGGCAGGTGCAGGCAGCATGGAGCCAAAAATGGAGCGGCTGGAAGAAAAGAGGTCTGAAAGACAACATCAGGGTTTTTGAGCTCCATGTGCTTATCACTTCCTTGAATTAAAATGCAAACAAATCAAGCACTGAATCCCACCTTACCCAGAGGAATGTCATGGCCAGAGGGCATCCCCCAATGAGGTAACTCTACAGAAAGAGGCCCTCTAATTGGAACCACACATGCTGGCAACTAGTGTGGGCTCTGAAATACTCTCAGGCTTGGCGTTTCACCTGCTCTTACAATGGCAGGAGCTCAAGGACCCGTTCTAACTGCAGGAAACTGCTGGGAGGTGGCCATGTCGTTGGCGCCCTCTGCTGCCTAGAGGGAGAACTGCTCACAGTCATGGCCAAACCAGAGGCTCTTCAGACAGTGAGAGTGAGAAGACCAATTTCCTCCAGAACAATGCCCCCGAGAAACTTCCAGAGTTTGCAGCTATAATAAAAAAAGAAAGCAATTCTGGGAAAATTTTAAGTCCTCCCTGCTCCCTTGTCCATTCTAACAGCTCCCTTTATGAAAGGGAAACACTGGTCTGCGTTGTCCTGGGCAAAGGAGATGCAGGTAGCATGCTCTCTCTCTGCTCCATGTCCTCACCCTGGAAAGGTTCAAAAGTGTCCATGAAGTCCAGATTGGGCTGCAAAGGAATCAGCCCCGGCTGAATCATGTCTGCATTTCCCAGATGTGCTGTAAGAATCAGAAAGGAGACAGAGGAATCACTTTGCCTTCTCAAGGTTGCAGGAAACGAAAGGCCTACACAAATGTGGCCCTGCTCACATCTAGATTCTTCCAAGAAGAAATGTGGGCTGCTGGCTAGGATTTTTGCCTCCATGGCCATTCTCCACCCTCAGAATGCAGGACAGAGTGTGAGTTTTGCACGAAAAGTAAACTGCGTATCAGGAACAGACACTCCCAGGAACCCGTGAGCAGCTATGCAGAGTCCCCCGCCCGTTCTAACTTTCAGTCTGCAGGCTCTTCCCTGAGGAGTGAGCTGGACCTCTGAATGCAGCCAGGTGAGGTCATGCCCAAGAGTACATCTGATTTTCTTTAGAGTGAGTCATAGGCCTGTCACCTGGCCTAGGCACGCATTCTCCGCTAAGGGGACAGAATCAGAACTGTGAAACTGATACAGACCAAACCCCGTTTTCTCACAGTGCTGCCCAAGTAGGCTCAGTGTGCAGTCCCCACACTCAATGCATGTTGTCTTCAGATGTCAGTGAGGCTGACAATCCTCCTGTCTGCTCTAAACAAGGGACACGCTGCAGCTCAGAGAGGGCCCGAGGTGAAATGAAGCCTGCCCCGGGTGGGCCGAGAGAGCAGGAAGCCAGCTGGGCACAGAAACCAGGGGTCTGGGGTGGGTCACCTATTTCCCGTGGGTTGGGCCAGGCCACCGGCGGGTGCGAGGAGAGTGTGGAGAAAAGTGTGTCGCTGAATTCTGACATGAGCATGTCTGTGTCCAGCAGCGGGTCCTCCTCCATTGGGACCGGGGTCTTCCATCCATCCTGATGTTTGTGCCAATAGAGCATGTCGTCATCCTACCGCCACAGGGGAACGGAACCCAACAGGCGCCGGTGGACTCAGAGTTTCCAACCACGTCCTGTTCCCTAGTCTACAGAGCGGCAGGGAGAAGCCCCCTGCAGCCCGCCGAGCGGAGAACTGACCCGTTTCTTCAGCCATTCAGGTCCTTCCTGTGAGAAGGGGTGGCCCCTTCTCTAGTCCCAGGAAGAGTCTGTCCCCACCCCTCTGCTGCAGGGCTTACTTGTCAAACCACCCAAGTCTTTGCTGTTTCTTGTCAAAAGGGCATTCCTAGGAGGGTCCTTACAGCCCCCAAGCTCCCTCACCTGGGCCAGGCTGGAGAGGTCTTCATCCTTGTGCTGCTGTAACTGTGGAGAAAAGAGAGACAAGGTGGTTATCTAGGGCCCTGGGAGGGAATGAGACCCTCAGCCTCCCCTCCCTAAAAGTGAGTGGGCCCGGAAGCATCCAGGCATCCCCTCTCTGGGACGCAGGCAGGAGAGGGTCCTGACTCCCTGCCGTCCTCAGGCCAACGCCAGGCAGAGGAAATTCCTAACCAGTGTTTGTGGAATGAACAGCCCGTTCAGAGCTGGAGAAGCTGACAGCAAGGATCACGTCCCAAGCAGGCTGTCACTCAGGCAGCTGGGATCCTGGGTCCCATGGGCAGCTATGGAGCCTCAGGGACAGTGCTCTGAACGCAGGAGTCGGCCTCTTCCCTCCTCTGCAGGGGCTTCCCCAACATGCTTTTTGGAGCCCAAGCCAGATACCCTTTTCTTGAAGTAGGTTCTCCACTTGTGATATTCCCGGATCACGATCTCAATGCGGCTTTTCCAGTACTTCCCTTCTGTGGTGATGGCCTACGAGAGATACAGGTCAGCATGAAAATCGGCACCGTGGTGCATCAGCAGATGTCACCCATGAACTCAGCAGTGTCTGATGCAGGCTGCAAGTCAGCCCCGGCAATCCAGCTGCGAGAGCCCCGCCGCAGGCCCATGACTTCATTCTCAAAGTGTGTCCCCCTCTTCTGAGCTGCAAGTGGCCTCTATCTGAGGATGTGATAACCAAGGGGGGACTTCAGCAACGTGGGTGCTGAGGGCCTGGACTGGACGGGGTCAGACAATGCTCAGGCCGCGAAGCAGAGAGCCCTCCACCCCGGCGTGGGGAGCCCTAGAGACCCAGGGGTAGCACCCAGACGCATGTTTCCAGTAGCCACTGCTGCATTTTCAAAGGGTCACAGAAGTTTCAGGTGGAAAATGATTGACTTCCAAGAGTACTTTGTTCCAATGAGCCATGACGCAGGGCGTGCGTCCTCCTACAACATCTCTGAGATGTTCTGGAGACCAGGACGTCACGGTCCCCTCAGAGCCCATTCGCTGTCAGACCCTATCATATTCCAAGAGCCACAGCTCTCACCTAAGGACACTTCTGCGTGTGTCTCTGACAGTGAAGAATCTTCACAGTGAATACAACATTATTACCAGACCTAACAAAACGATACCTTAACGTGTCTAACGTCAGGTCGTGTCTGGTTGCTCAAAACTGTCTTCATTAGGTTACTTGCAATTTTTCTCCTTTTAGCATAACAGTAAATGCTTGGACAAAGTAAAACAATGCAGAAGAGCTTAAAGGAAAAGAGTCTCCCCTCCAGTAAAAAATATATATATATATATATATATTTTTAAATCCTCACCCAAGGACATTTTTCCATTTATTTTCAGATAGAGTGGAAGGGAAAAAGAGAGGGAAAGAGACAGAGAAACATCGACATGAGAGACGACTGGCTGCTTCCCGCACCAACCAATGAGGGCCAGGGACTGAACCGCAACCGAAGTATGTGCCCTTGACTGGAATCAAATCCACGACTCTTTGGTTCATGGGCCAACACTCTAACTGCTGAGCCAAACCGGCCAGGGCAGTAAAAGATTTCTGAATATCCTTCTAGATCAGTGGTTCTCAACTTTCCTAATGCCCAACCCTTTAATACAGTTCCTCATGTTGTATGTGGGTGTATCTGCATGTGGGCGGACCTGCCTGGAAACGGATAGACAAGCGGTGTCTTGGTTCCTAAGACCATCAGAAATATGTGTTTTCCGATGGTCTTAGGCAACCCCTGTGAAAGGGTCGTTCAACCCCCAAAGGGGTCACAACCCACAGGTTGAGAACCACTGTTCTAAATACTTCCTATGCATGTATAATCACATACACACTTTAATAAATTAACATAAGGACACTAAAATACTTCACCTGGCCGGTTTGGCTCATCAGTTAGAGCACTGGCCCACAGACCAAAGGGTCTTGGGTTTGATATCCAGTCAAGGGCACGTACCTGAGTTGCAGGTTTGATCCCTGGCCCCAGTTGGGGTCGATATGTCTGTCTCACATTGATGTCTCTCTCTCTCCCCCTCCCTCCCTCCCTCCCTTCTACTCTGTCTAGAAATCAATGGAAATATATCCCTGGGTGAGGACTGACAACAACACAGAAACCAAAATATTGTTATGCAACTTGCTTATTTTTCATTTACTATTTCTTCAACATTCTTCCATCACAGTATATAAAGATCTTTAGGTCATATTTTTTTTATTGATTTTTTTAAGAGAGAGAGAGAGAGAGAGAGAGAGAGACATCAATGTGAGAGAGAAACATCAATAGGCTGCCTCCTGCATGCCCCCTACTGGGGATCGAGCCCATAACCTGGGCAAGGAACCAGGACCTCTGAGTCCATGGGACAACGCTAAATCCACTGAGCCACACCGGCTGGGCCTGAGTTCATTTTTTAATTGTAAGGAGCCCAAATCCCTCCCTGTTGACCAAGAGAAACACTGATGTCAAAGAAAGTAGAGAGGAAGTCCCAGCTGGACAGCCCTCAGTCCCTGGCCAGCCTCCTCCAAGAAGAAAGGTGAGCCACCTACTCCCCACACACCCATGGCTTCTCAAGGTCACAACAGCTGACAGTACAGTGCAACCCCAGCACCCTGCCCTGTGGTCTCCCACTAGGGAACCCAACCCTCACTCCCAGCCCACGGTGAGTCGTCTCCTCCTGAGTGAGGGCGAGTTCCTTTCCTGGCCCCGCGATCACGTGCCATTTACCTCTGGCCGGCGATGCTCATCTACGTCCACAGAGCCGTCTAGTGGGGTGACGAAGTGGCACACAGGGTTCTTGCGCTTCTCCAAATCTGGGCGGAGAGGGGTAAGACATCATCACTGAGACCAAGACCCTACAAGGAGCCCTGCCCCTCTGTCCACACCCGTCCCCTCAGGGTAGGACCCTCCCACCTGTTCTTTCCTTCTCTTTCCCTTAGAAAAGGGGATTCGGACAAATACAGGTGTCCAGGTTAAAGAGAAGGAGTCTGTCAAGAAGGGCGGTAAGAAAGGGAATCTGGCTGTGGAAACACCAGCCTAACCCACAGGGCCAAGCGTGCCCATCTCCTACAGAAGTCACCCAGGGCAGCTGGAGACAGAACAAGGCCTGGGCCTGCATTTTCTTAGACCTGCTGAAAATGGGAACTATTTCCTGATGCTTCAAATGTCCCCTCTCTGCTACACCCCTGTGACTCCCCTGAAAAGAACTAACCTCTGCCTCTGCTTCTGCCTTTATGACACCGGGCCCAAGTATCTATCGTAATAGTGGGCACACTGTGTTGTGAGCAACCAGCTAACACATCTCTTCTGCAAACTACGGGCACCTTCATGACAAAGGCCACTTGGTTGGCCCCCTGTGCCTGACGGCCGAGAAGTGTCCAGTTCACTAGGATTTGGCTTGGTTCTCTGTCTCCACAGGTGGGCTGAGAGAGGCTTCTCTTTGAGGCACAATGTTGCGAAAGTGGGTTCTGGGGCCCAAGGTGAACAGGCCTCCAGGTGGAAGTACCTGGAGGGTCACCCCCCTCCGACCTCGGGGTCCTGCAGCCTCCTGCCCCAGCTCACAGGAGGCCCCAGCTCACGTGGCACTCACACTGCATGTACCACGCCCGCCAGATGGCGTTATTGAGCCGGATCTTGTCTCTCCACTGGAGCTTCAGGCCCTTGAAATTCTTCCACTTTGGAGACACCAACTTCCCACTGAAAGGCAAGAAAGAGGGGACATTTAGCAGTTTCTCTGAAAATGAGATGAAATCAGAAAGTGGCACCTAATCATTCCAGGCCTCCAAATTCTGAATTAATCCATTACAAGCCACAGGTGAGACTTGATAGATATACAAGTCCCTCTGGGATCTCTTCAAAGCGATATGAATGAGAGGCGTTGTGGGGCAGGGTGTGTGTGTGTGTGTGTGAGAGAGAGAGAGAGAGAGAGAGAGAGAGAGGGAGATGGTATCAGGGTTTGGGGGAAACAGGGCTGGCCATGGGTTAACTGTTGAAACAGGATGAGAGTAGGGTTCACTCTCCTATTGTCTACTTTTTGCATAACTTAAAATTTTTCCATAATTAAAAGTTAAAAAGAAATCTGTTGAGTTAGCAATATATATAAGCATCAAATCACATTGTATAAATTACATTTACACACTGTTATATGTCAGTTATACCTCAATGAAGTTGGGTGGGGAGGGGTCTGTTGACCACCGAATGAAAGCTAAACTCCTTTAACTTGGTCTCTGCCCACATCCGTTGCTACCAGTCCCCATGGGGCACTTACAGTATAAGTCTCAGATCCTGTGGGACCCTCTCCTGCCTCCAGGCCTCTGCACAAGGTCCTCACTCCTCATGGAACTCCCTGTGCTGCTCACACACCATCTCCTCCGAGGGCACTGGGCTCTCCTAAAGCACTGCTCACACCAAAGAGCACTCCTACAGCCCGGGGAGCAACGTCTCTGCCTGCACCTCCCTCCATTAGACCGCAACTTCTACAGGGAGGGCCCCTTAGGCGTCACTCACACTCAGCACCTAGCACAGAACTTGGCGCATAGCAAGGGCTCAGGTAGTAATTCATTAATGAGTTAAAGAGCCCTTGCAAAGCCAAGCTAACAACAGGCAAAGAACATTCCCTGGAGGCACAGTCTTCTTAGCTTCGTTTTCCAAGGGCTTTGCCAGGAGCCTCCTCTGAGAAGCTGGTACAGGGTTCTTCTTTTTCAGATGGCTTGAGATGGGCAAGGCACAACTTTTGGTTCATACCAAACGGGGTTCTCTGGGTCCTCCTGATCGCAGGCCACAGCCCTTCCCCTTTTCCAGACCCACTCAGAAAGCTCAAGTGACAAGCAGAGACCTGTCAACAGTCACAACAGCTGAGGCCTTCAAAGACAATACCCAAGCAATAAACCTGAGCTGAACCTGAAAACGTGGGTTACAAAGCAAAAGGCCTGGCTGTGCACCTGGCAAAACTTCATGGCTCCCCCACCCGACCCAGCACCAGGCCAGGCTGGGAATCATGGAATCATATCGGCCTGAAGGCTCTGACCCCACAGAGAAAATGTCACAGCATATTCTCTTAGGATCTGAGGGACAGACAGACAGTAGCAGCCTCACCTCAAAAAATTAGGGGCTTCAAACCAGAGACACACCTGCTTCCTCCCCTTCTCTCTCATCCAGCGGCACCCTGAACCCATGCTCCGCCGCTCAGCTTGCACCCGAGTTCAGCAGCCAGCGGCCGAAGTGTTGGAGCCTCTGCTGCACAACTGCAGCCTAAGTGACTCTTCACGGCCACTTCACTCTCCTGGCTCACATTTCCTGGTGAGATCAGCACACCACCACCACCTCCGGAATGTTTGAGTAAGGATTACATGTGTGTACATACACAGAGACACACACAATGAGTGAACCTAAAGCAAAATATATTAATAACCACCTCAATGATCTAGATTTAAGTTATTACTGAAAGGCTTGATTTTTAACACCTCCTGAGTTGAAAAGTCTTTTCTGTGTGCCACTATTGTCATGTACCTCTTCCTCCTCTACTGGAGAAAAAAGGTAACACCCCTGCGCCCACTCTCAATCCAGTGAGCAGAGACCTGGGCAAAGGTCCACCCTAAACTCCATGTATCTGCAGGACCATTTGCTTCTCATTTACTCATCTAACAAGCGTTACGCGCCTACTCTGTGCTGTGCGTGTGCTAAGAACTGAGGAATGGGATGGGTGGGGCAGATGAGTCCCCTGAGAGCATCAGTCAGCATAACTGACAGTCTGAGCAGTCAGGAGAGGCTTTCTGGCGGAGGTGACATCTAAGCTAATGCCTAGAGGATAAGTAACCTTTAAACAAACCAAGGAGAGAGGGAGAGACTGTTCCTTCCACCTGGCTTGTCATGGCCCTGAGGTGAACAGGAATACGCCTGGTCAGTGCAGGGGAGAACAGCCAGTGTGGCTGGAGCCTGGAGGGGTGGGGGAGATGTGTGGGGCGCTTCCAGACAGGCAGGCTGGAGAGCAGAGGACATCCCAGAGTGCCTTTGGTCCCACGATGGGCAAAATCAACCCTCTTTCCCCACCTCTGCAAGATCTTTCAGCAACCTGATGCCTAGCCAGGCAGGTAGATCCAGGAAAACACAAACACACACACACACGCACGCACGCACACTTACAACAAAACAGTAAACTGTCCCTATTTTTTTAATTTCCTTAATGAGAAAAAAAATCCCAACCTTTTCTTTTTTAAAAAATATTTTTATTGATTTTTTTTAGAGAGAGATAGACAGGAACATGGACATGAGACAGAAACATCCATCAACTGCCTCCTGCATGCCCCCTACTGGTGATAGAGCCAACAACCCAGGCGTGTGCCCCAGCTGGGAATTGAACCAGGACCTCTCAGTCTATGGGATGGCGCTCAAGCCACTGAGCCGCACCAGCTGGGCCCAACCTTTCCTATAACCGATAGTTTCTTCACATTAAAGGCCACTGTCTATGTTGCTGAACCCCGACCAGCACTGCCACCTGCAGAGATGGCTCAGAGGACAAGAGCAGGAGAAGGGCTATACTGGAAAGTGAGGGCTCAACAACAAACCCAACCTTATTGCTGTGTTGTACTGAAGACAAAGCAGGGCGACATGAGCATGGGAGCGTCTCTGAGAAGTGAGGCGATGGACAGCTTCAATTACTTACAGTGAAGGGGTGGAAAGATACGAGAGAGATCAACCCCAACAGGCTAGAAACCAAATCTAACAGGGTGTAGTTTTGGGGTTCTCATCTTCTTCCTACTACTCTCTTACTGAAATGTTTCACTTTTCCTTGATGTTTCTGTCAAGTTTGGTCAAACTTCAGCAGGAACGTGTCAGATTTCAGAGCACAAACTGCTTTCACGCCATCCCAGGTTTCTGTAATAGCTCAACCTCCAACAGGTGGCACTCAACCAACACAAAGAAGAGTCCGAAAGCCAAACCAAAACCAAAAGCTAAACCATCCACAGAAGTAGAGGGTGAGAGGACCAGGATGTTTTCATGGTGACTGACACCCCACCTCCACAGCAATTTCAAGACAACAACTGAGGAAGCAACACACAAAGCTCCTTGGTAGCAAGGATTCCACAGGCAAACTCAGGAACGGTGGGCTACATCTCTGTGAGTTCCTTCGGTGACTGCTTCTCAGGGCCTTTAATGTGCAGATGTCACTGTCATCCTGAAAGGAGGGCAAGAGGAGACATTCCCTACGCTGACAGTCACAGACCAAACCTGGCCTGGGACCCCTGTTACAGGGCTGCGCAGCCTAGTTCCCACGCCACAGGCGAGGAAGGGTGCTGACAGCTCTGGATGCTCTGAGACCCGAGCTCCCTGGAGCAGTACCCAGAAAGCATCTGTGTGTGACTTCTCCTCTCCGCCCTGCCCAAGCTTAATTCATCTTCCAGACACGGCCGACTGGGATACTTCTTAGTCCAATTTAGGATTATACCATATTCCTTCTTTTTTTAAAGTATAACCAGAGCCCTGACCAGTTTGGCTCAGCGGTTGAGCATCAGCCTGCGGACCAGAGAGTCCTGGGTTCGGTTCCTGCTAAGGGCACGTACCTCACACAAAAAATAAATAAATAAAGTATAACCAGAAACACAGAATGAAAATGTCTGGGACCACTGGCTTTCCCCCAGCAGATGAAAGACCTCTTCCGGCCTTCACCTCTAAGCCTGCCCCTTCTATATGCCTGTGTAGGTCCTGGGGCTTCCCAAACAGAACACTGACCCTGCATTCACCTCACACCCTCCTACTCGGACCACAGAAGATCAAGGCCTAGGTCTGACTCATCCCAGTGCAGTGTCTAGCACCTGGGAGGTGTTTATTTTTAAATCCTCACCAAAAGATTTTTTTTTCTATTTTTCATCAGATAGAGTGGGAGGGAGGAAGGGAGAGAGACAGAGAGAGAGAGAGAGAGAGAGAGAAACATCGATGTGAGAGAGACACATTGACTGGTCACCTCCCACACAACCTGACCAGGGCCGGGGACGAACTGCAACTGAGGCACATACCCTTGACCAGAATCAAACCCACGACTCATTGGTCCACGGGCTGATGGTCTAATCACTGAACCAAACCAGCCAGGGCTGGGAGGTGCTTTTAAATATGGAGTTACTAAATGAGTGCTAAACTTTTCCAAACAGAAAATTCACACCCTGGCATGCTACCCTTCCTAGAGGACAGGTTCATGACATGAAACAGGAAGTTCATAGTACGACAAAGGTCCTTCTCAAAACTAATTGTTGGTTAGAACTAGCAAACTGGCCCTGGCCGGTTTGGCTCAGTGGTTAGAGCGTCGGCCCGTGGACCAGAGAGTCCTGGGTTTGGTTCCCGCTAAGGGAACGTACCTCGGTTGCAGTTTTGTCCCCGGCCCCAGTTGGGATCGTGTGGGTGGCAATCACTTGATGTGCCATCTCTCTCATATTGATGTTTCTCTCTCTCTCTTCCTCCCTCTCTCCCTCCCATACTATCTGAAGACAAATGCAAAATTTTAAAAAATGTCCTTGAGTGAGGATAAAAAAAAAAATAATAGCAAACTGAATTCTTCAGAGGTCTGGTAAGAGACTGCTTTGGAATGAAAATTAAAGTACAAGCCTTACGCCCAGCCGGTGTGGCTCAGTGGTGGAGGTTGCTGGTTCGATTCCCGGTCAGGGCACATGCCCAGGTTGTGGACCTGATCCCCAGTGGGGGGCATG